CCGCCGGTCGGCCCCTCATAATGGCTCCATCTTCGACCTCCGCCACCCCTTTCTATCCTGGGGCATCTTTATGGCCTCCTAACTTAATAAATAGGGATCAGTTATAAATACCCAATTGTTGTGATGGGAGTTGTGGGGTTGTTGGGATAAGAAAACCCTCCATTTGTTGTTATCAGGGCATATATGGGTGCCCTAATTGAACCAAAAAACACAGAATAGCCATGCTTCTGCCATGGCCTATATGTGTATATGTGCGTGTGTGTATATATATACTAGTTGTGTGCCCGCGCAATGCAGCAGGATGTCAAATTTTATTATGAATAAAGAAATTGACATATCAAACATACTCGGTGTATCTCACTCAAAATCAAGATCCAAGTGGATAAGATGTATAGTACACATACATTTGTATACCCCTGTGACGTAATAGCTACACACACCTAATGTGGGACTTAACTTTAGGCCATATACCCAAACGCTTACCTGATAGCTGTTTACTGGTAAAATTCGTCACTCAAACTTACTATTGCAGGTTATAAAATTTCGTCAAATTCATTCAAATTGTAATTTAGAACTCCCTATATGTTAATCTACTTGTGCAACTGCAACCATTGTAAAAAAAACAAATTTTTTTGTGAATACTTGTAAAAACATACATATTTGCTTACCAAGCGTTTATCGGGTAAACATTTATCGACATAAAACATCACAAACTGTTATATCCTTAAAATAAATGAATTGATAATTGACCACCTTATATATAGTGTTATATCCTTAACATTGTATTGCTTCTAACCATGTAAGATTCTTAGTCCTAGGCCTATTCAATAAGCATTTAGTAAACAAACCCATAGTGTCTATCATAAACTTAAAACTTATTTAAAAATCGTGGTCATAGACAAGTAGAATCACATTACACAGGATTGGTTATTAAAACAAATCATGTGATCCATGGAGCCGTTTACAAATCACTTACCTGGTACATGCTTACCGGGTCACTTTACCTGATCGGATGAACATGACAAGGATTGAAAAACTTACCGGTTAAGAGTGAGGAGAAGGATCGAGAGTTTTACCCATAAGTGAAAGCAATGACTTACTCTATAAACACTTACTAAATAAAAATATTGCATATGATATCATTTTAATAGATTAAAATCTTAATAAGTTAAGTAAAAGCATGGTAATTTTTCTTAGGAAAAAAGGAACGAAACCCCTGTAAAATTTTATTGAATAAGATAAAAAATATTACAGAAAAATTAAATGGGCAAACCCATTGTTACAAAAATAAGAGAATACCAAAAACGAAGGATCCAAAACCATCTTTACAGTCAAAACAGCAACTCGATAGTCCACAATTGATGTAGTCCAACAATATCAGCCCAAATCAGCCCATGGGGTAAGAGGAAGTCCAACAAACCCAAAGCAAACCATCCAGCCCAATCATCCAACCATCATTAAGGCCCATGTAAATTGCATTTAGTTGCCCATTTCATATATCCTTACACATCAGCATTACCCAAACAAACCTCCCTTACCAGCAAGATATGTAGAGACAGTGTAGGCAACAGAGAACTGCAAGAATAAAAAATGTTATAAAGTGTCCATTATTCAGTTCCAAACACCACCACTTACCCAAAAACACCACCTCATACCAGCTGGCCATCTCAATAACAAAAGCACATTGTGATACAGTAGCCCAAACCTTATAGAACAGGTAACAATCCCAAGTACCAGAATTCCTCAAATGAAAAATTGAGCATACAGTAGCCAATCAGGTAATTTTTCCGTAGCATAAACCAAAAATGATCCACCTTATAACTCCAGATCTAGTAACATAGATTCCTGTCCAACTAAACCAAAACTCCATCAAACAACACATATCAAAGGTCCCAGAAAACAGTTACAAGATTGCACATAGCCGACAGCAATACCAGATAGCCATATCAAAAACAAGTCCCACCTTATACCTCCAAAACCAACTAAAATCACCTTTTCAGACAACAACTATAATGAACTTCAACATAAAACAAATATATTTTAAAGAAAAAGAGTTGGAACTTTGCACCATAGAACTGATCTTTTTGAAGATTTTGAATATAACATCCATATGTTGCTCTACATCATCAGTTTTCTGATCTACTGATTATGGTCCACCAATAGCATGTGATTCTACATTTTGCTCAACCTTTACACTCTTAATGCTAAAATCTCCACCCTACAAAAGCATCATGTTCACGTAGATCAGAGATATATTAATTCTCTAATCACACCAGCACAAGCATTTAATTCTCTAATCTTTATGGTTTTACACCTGAAGAAGCTTATGGGAAAACACCTACAGAGCTTCTAGTGGAAGATCCTAAAGATGTTGTATTAGCTGATTATCTCTTAATGCGAACGGTAAAAGGAGAGAGTTGGTCTGGAGAGTTTCCAATAAGGAAAAAGAACGGAAAAATTATCATGGTTATCGCGACCAATACGCCATATCGTGATGACAATAGAAGATTAATTGGGGGTATATGTGTAACGACTGCTGTATCATGGTTATCAAGTAATGAAGCCCGGGAAGAGTCCCACAGACATGTGTAGGAATAAACAGACAGACATGTGTAGGTATTGAACCAGTAGAGGGAAAACAAAACATACCTATAGGAAGACTGGAAAATAGCAGAACAAAGAAGCGGAGCTGCAAGGAAACAGATGAAAATTGAGAGCGAAAACTTAAAACCTAAAAGCAAAACCTAAATTGAGCGAAAACTCAAAACATACCTGAAAGCGACGATTGAAAACAGCAAAGCCGATTGGAAACGACCTGCAAGGAAACAGATGAAAATCGAGAGCGAAAACCCAAAACCCAAACACAAAACCTAAAAACAAAACTCAAWCAGTTCATACCTGAAAGCKACGATTGAAAACGACGAAGGCGATTGAAAACAGCGAAGCCGATTGGAAACAACRAAGGCGATTGTGAAGCGATTGAGGTGRGAACGATTCGGCGATGGAAGACTCTTAAAGGGAACATCTTGGGGAGTGAAGCGTCGTCTCGGGAGCTGAAAATAGAGGAGTGTTCTTGGGGGAGGAGAGAGCCGGGTAAATTGAAGAGACATATTGGGGGAAGGGAAGGGAAGGGAGGCGTGCAAAGGAGGAGTGTAAAATAGGTTTAAGGGTATTTTCGGTATTTCAAAAGTTAAGACTTTAAGACTTTGATCAAATTTGTTTAATAAGGTAGTATAGATATATGCATGCACTTAGAGAGAGAGAGATTGTGTGTGTTCCCATGGATTTGAAAAGAAGATGAGAATGGGTAAACTAGCACCTACTTAGTGATTAATCTGTCTTTTTAACACATTCTTCTCCTCTATGATCCAATCTTCATGGCTTGGAACTGTAGAACAAAATCCCATCAAATTTAGAAGATATTGAAAACAGGTTTTATTAATGATTATGGAACTGGATTGTGAAAGTTTGGATGATCACTTGACCATCAAGTTTGATGAGAACATCGATTTAGCAGGTGGGTTATCAAGTTTGGATCCAACTTCGTTCAATTGCTCTTTCTTCTGGAAGAAGAAAAGGGTGATGAGGGGGTTTAGGTGTATTAATAAGTTGTACACATGATTTAAACATGTAGAGATAAAAATTTATATAATAAAATAGGAAAAAAGAAAGAAAAAGACAAAAATACCCCTCAATCTCTAAATTTGTAACGATTTGCAAACCATATGAACCACTAATGTAATGATTAAACTATGAAAACAATAACCGTAATTTCTTACAAACCATAAGGACCAAAATTGTAATTTACCTAAACCAATTTTACCCATTATTTAGAGGTGTCGGTGGTGCATTTATATAAATAAATTCGAAGTTTTAGCAAAATATTAAAATTTATAAGTATTAATTTAATATTTAAAATTTCTGTTTATTCGTTGTAAATTCGTTTAATTATTTAAAAAACTGTATTTGTTAATATAATTTTTTTGAATAAAAATTAGCACAAAAATGGTAAAATAAAAAATCTTGTCTTGATATTCCTTATTTTTATGTATTTATTTATTATTTATTTATTTATATATTTATTTTGGATATGATTGGAATAAAGTAGATACAACCCTTTGCATTTTATATAAATACATTATGCTACACCCACATTGGTCACATTATCTATGAGAGCGTCAATAATGTCAACCACCACCGCCGCCGCCGTGCTTCACACCTCCCAACTGCTCCGCCGCACCATCTTTAACCGAGCATTTGCCTTAATCTACGCTTCCGGCATCTTAACGTTGCTCTACCGCCACCTACTTACACTCCGCCATTCCACCACATTCATCTCCGCCGCCACCACGGCCACTTTCTTGATCGCCGACCTTGTTCTTGCCTTCATGTGGACAACCACCACCTCCTTCCGCCTCTACCCCACCACTCGGAAAGTCTTTCCGGAGAATCTTGAGAAGGTCTTGGAGAAAAAGGATTTTCCGGCGCTGGACATATTCATTTGCACGGCGGATCCCTACAAGGAGCCGCCAATGAATGTGGTGAACACGGCGTTGTCTCTGATGGCTTACGACTACCCACCAGAAAAGATCTCGGTGTATGTTTCCGATGATGGTGGCTCAGAGCTTACTCTCTTTGCTTTCATGGAGGCCGCCAAGTTTGCAAAGATTTGGCTGCCATTTTGTAGGAATAATAACATCATCGACAGATGCCCAGAGGTCTTTTTTCGATCGAATGACATTACATTTTCCGACAGCACCAAGATCAAGGTACAACAACCATCATGCATTAAAAACTTGTATTTTTTAGGTAGGTCAATATATATGTATTTTATTTTATTTTATTTTAAATATCCATCACGTTAATTAATTATTATATTATTTATCTCTCTCTCTCTATAAATTGTTTCAAATGCAACTCATCATTCATATATATATATATATATATATATATATATATA